AGAGAGTGGCAGACAGAGACGAAAAATAGCCTGCCTTCAAAAAGCTTCCAATCACATAGAGAAATTATACTTGCACACAGTCACCACCGGACTAACTGAAAGAATGCTATGCTGCAGGTACTTGAGATATTCTGGAGTCAGCTAGTGTTTGCCAACTATTTATGTTATTTTAATGCCATGGAGTAGGTTTCTACTCATAGCGGCCCTTTAAACCTTATTAACATAGACCTACGAATCGGGCTGCGAACCTTAAGGTCAGCAGTTCGAAACTACCAGCTGCTCCGCGGGAGAAAGATCAGGCTTTCTACTCCCGTAAAGATTTACACCCTCGGAAACCCTGTACAGGGTCGCTATGGGTCGGAACCGACTCGACGGCACTTAACAACAACAACAACAACCAGTTGTCTATCAGTGTGTTGAACTGTGGTTGCTTGTGTGTTGCTGTGGTGTTGGAAGCTATGGCACTGATATTTGGAGTACAACCAGGGTCATCCATGGTGAACAATTTTCTGCAGAGCTTCCAGACTAAGACAAGCGAGGAGAAAGGAGAGGCGGACCAGTTCTGAATGACTAGCCACTGAAAACATTATGAATAGAAGCAGAACATTGTCTGATATAGTGCCAGAAGATGAGTCCCGCAGGTTGGAAGGCATTCAAAATATGACTGGCGAAGAGCTGCCTCCTCAAAATAGAGTTGACCATAATGATGTGAAGGAGGACACCTTTCAGGACCTTCATTTGCTGATGAGGCACAACTCAAAATGAGAAGAAACAGTTGCAAATATCCATTGATAATCAGAATGTGGAACGTACAAAGTATGAATTTAGGAAAATTGGAACTTGTTAAATATGAAATGGCACACATAAAGATGGATATCCTAGGCATTGTTGTTGTTGTGAAGTGTTGTCCAGTCAGTTCTGACTTATAGAAACCTTCCATAGGGTTTCCAAGGAGCGACTGGTGGGTTTGAATCACAGATCTTGTGTTTAGCAGTCCTGTGCTTATCTACAGTACTACACAGGAGTCCTATCCAAGGCATTAGTAAGCAGAAGTGGACGGGCACTGACCATTTTGAATCGGACAATCATGGTTCACTATGCTAGGAATGACATATTGAAGAATTTTGTCACATTCATTGTCAAAAAGAGCATTTTAAGATTTATCTTGAAGTACAATACTGTCTGTGATAGGATAATATTCATATGTCTGTAAGAAAGTCAGGATGTTATTAGGAGGGACCTGTCCCTGAGGAAGGACATCATGCTTGGTAAAGTGGCAGGTCGGTGAAAAAGAGGAAGACCCCATAAGAAAATGAGTTGACACAGTGGCAGCAACAATGGACTTAAACATAACAACAGTTGGGAAACTGGTGCAGGACTGGGCAGTATTTCGTTCAGTTGGACACTCTGTGAGTCAGAACAGACTTGATAACACCTAGCAACAACGCATTAAAATAGAATTGACAACCATGTGTTTGCTCGGATGCCTGAAATTTCTAGGGACAGAGTCCTTCTAAAGTATATTTGAGTGTATTGAGATAATGAATTATAACACTACGTGGTAAATGTAAATTGGTATAACTTCAGTGAAAAGCGGCTTGGCACTATCAAAAGTACAAATGTATTTGCTCTTTGACCCTGCAATACCACTTTTAGGAATATATCTTGCAGATACACTCAGGCATGTGGAAAATGCCACTATACAAAGTCACTCATTACAAAATTGTTTGAAATGGCCAATGATTAGGAATAACCTGTGAGCCGTAGATAAAGGGCTGGTTAAGCAGAATGTGGAACATTCATACAACAGACCTTACGTAGCTGAAAGCTAGATTGATGCATGAGAGGGAAAGTCTATGACATGTATTATTAAGTGAAAAAATGCTAAACACAAAAAAGTCATAGTCAGCTGCTAACCAAAAAGTTGCCAGTTCAAACCCACCCAATAGCACTGTGAGAAAGACCTGGTGATCTGCTCCCATAAAAACTGCATACTTGAAAACCCTCTGGGACATTTCTACTCTTGTCACATGGGTTTGCTATGAATTGGAATAGACTCGATGGCACCTAACTACAAACAACCACCATTTGTGTTTTTAAAAGTGTGGAAGTGTGGGGGAGGGTAAGCATATATATCTACAAATTTGTTTGTGTACTCAAAAACAAAAAGTTTAGAAGGATACACTAGCATTTGGTAACTGTGATTATGTTGTGGGGTGAGATGGGTAGAGAATTTGGCCGAGGGGAAAAGGACTGAGTCAATCCTCAGAATGCAAAGATAATTCACATTCCGCTTTTTCACTTCTCCATCTCTGACATCAGCCGATCACATGATGTTCTCTCTGTCTCCAGTCCTAACCATCCAGAGTTAGGTCTTTACAAGGCGACTGCCTGCACAGCCCTCTTCTGTCCATACAAAGCTGTTTCCTTAGAAGTTAGGACTCTGTCCTAATCAACTGCCAAAAAGGCAGATGTCAGGCCTGCTGACTTACACAGGTCCCTGGTTTTCAAGGTGGATGTGATAATTGATTCATTAGAATGAGAATGACACCGAACTCATGGGACAGCTGTACTCACCTTTTAAAATATAACCTTTTAAATATAACCACATGAAGAGATGCACAGGCAAGGTCTGGGAGGAGTTTTCAGCACTGAGCTTCTTGTCCCCAGAGACATGCCAGCTCTCCATGTGCATCACAGGAGAGGTCAAAAGGAAGCGCTGAGGCCCAGGGTTCTTTATAATAGTTATTGGAGGCTTAGTCTATATTCATGCCTGGGACCTTAATGCCCAGTCAGTGACTGATGGAATCACTGAACAGGAATAACTGATTCCATCAAGTTCTCCCCACCCCGCTTTTTCCTGAAATTGTCAGGTATGGTCCTCAGGCTCCCACATCATTGACACACATTATATAGTGCTGCCTGACTGTTTTAGAAATACAAAGACATCTTGGTTTGCTAAGGAATTCCAAGGGCCATTTTCAGAAACTAGAAACAAAAGGCCAAGTCAACTTTTGTTCTACGAGGACTTTTTATACATTATTCTTAAACCATGTGGATGTGGTAACTATTCAAAATATAAAGTTTATTGGATTGTTAAAAGAGCTAATCCAGTGACTATAATTCCCACCAAGGAGTGAAAATCTAACATTCATTCACTCATTCACTCAATAATAATCTTTAAAATAGAGTAGCTTCTTTAGCTTCTTTAACAAGTGTTAAGCATCCAGCACTGTGCTAAGCACTTGTATGCACATTACCTCATTTAACCTCACCACCCCCATATGGTGCAGGTGTCTCATATTATAGAAGGAGATGAAAGAGGTTGTTACTTCCGACATCCAGGACTGTAGTCTTGGACTAGGTCCAATACAGATACAACCCCTGACCTACAGAAGCTAGTGAGGGAGACAGATCTAGTGAGGGAGACAGAGGCAGATTCACAAATAGGTTTTGAAGAGGGAAGGGAGCTCTAGATTATGGGTGTCTCAGGATTAGGGGACAAAGAAAACAGAGAGGCTGGGGACAAGGAGAAAACTTCTCCCATGACACCCTTTTGCCAACCAGCTCTGTAAGCAGCTATGGAACTCAGATGTGCCTATGTGGGAGACAACCCCAGCAGCCTCAGAACCAACAATGAACAAAGGCTGTCCGATAGTCTCTGGGAACAGAGGAGGTCTGACAACAGCCTGGCCTGTTTGATCAGTGTAGACATCCCTGTGGACTTTGAAGCCTGAAGCTGTGTCTACACAGATCAAATAAACTGCATAATTGCCATGCCTTGACTTCACTTGGTGCTAATCCATAATCACAGCCAACTCCACAGCAATTCTACCAAACCATCTGAGCAGAAGTAAAAATAATTCTAACGGGCAGAGAGAGAGTTCCAAGATGCAAACATTAACTCCTTGTAATTTGAAATGAGCTTTAGGAAGCTTCAGAGAAGGGAGTTTATGCCCCACTCCAAAGTGAAGAGGCAAAACTGTTTTCTCTCCTTAGCACTGAAAACCCCTCACATTCCAGGGTCCAAATATGAGTTGACAAGAAATAGCCAGTGTAGCTCTCAAAGAGACAGCCCCACCCTGAAGAACATCCCTGGGTGGTACAAATGGTTAAGTGATCGGATGCTAGCCAAAAGGTTGGAGGTCACCTACTTCCAAAAAAAAAAAGCCATTGGAAACTCTCTGAGGCACAGTTCTAGTCGAAATACGTAGGGCTGCATGAGTCAGAACGAACTTGGTGGCAACTGGTTTGATTTTGGGGTATTCTGAAGAACAAAGCAGCATTTTTATCTACAGGCTCATTCTAGGGGAAATCTTACTCTAGCCACCTCAGTCCTCAAGGGAATATATCAACCAGTAGTGAGACTCTCAGGAAATTCTTGTTATAGAGACTGGTAAGATCAGGCACAGAACAACAAACCTAGAAGCCAAGTGACATCATTAAAAAAAGATTAAAAATCTACATGACTTCTAACATCTACGTTCCTGGTTGTGGTTTCCATGGAAATAGACATCTGCTCTAAGGGGAAAGAAGAGGTGGTGGGAGGCGGTGTAAGTGCTTTAAAATAATCAGTGTTTTGAAAGATTTATTTTCTTCCTGTCACAACATTAATAGTCAGAAATGTGAGATTTTTGTGTGGCAATCTCTTGTATTAAAAAAAAAAAATGCATCAAATGGGTAGGATCTTCCTCTTCAAACGTCAAGTACACAGGCTTGAAGATAAAGACTGGTTCAGAGTATAATAGGCCCCCTTGGCCTTGGATTCCCTGCTTCTTTGTGTGCCTTTCTACCTGTGTCTTTTCAGCCAGGTCTTATCCCCACCCTTCTCCAACTTTTCTAAGGATTTCTGAGATACTGACAGAACCCTGACAGATGGAAACACCTGGTCATTTCATGGTGAAGTTTAGTTTGGGAAAGAGAAGCCTTCCAAGGCTCAGAATCTGAATTAGTACTGGTTCTGCTCCCATGCTATGGGAAAACCACTTAGATTGGCTAAGGGAAGCTGGCCCCACAAAAGAGGGAATTGTTGGAGGACATGCCACAATAAGCATATTTCAGCCAACTGTGCATTGTTAATTGTTTGCTTTGTGTGGTGTGTCTGCTGTGTGATAGTTTTAATCATCCCCAAATCAAAATAAAACCACTGTCATCAAGTCGATTCCAACTAATAGTGATCCGATAGGACAGAGTAGAATTGCTCCATAGGGTTTCCAAGGCTATAGATTTTTATGGAAGCAGATTGACACATCTTTCTCCCAAACAACGGCAGGTGAGTTCTACCAACCTTTCGATTTGCAGTATAATGCTTAACTCACAGCACCAACATGGCTCTTGTTAATTGTATGTTGCTGTTGTTATGTGCCGTCGAGTCGGTTCCGACCCATAGCGACCCTGTACAGGGTTTGTACAGGGTTTCCGAGGGTGTAAATCTTTACGGGAGTAGAAAGCC